TTTCACGGCCCAAGCGGCCGCGCGGCTTTCAAAAAACTCCCGGACTGGAAAAACCCGTTCCAAATTCCCAGCCGCCTTTGCCCCCCCGTCCTTTGCCAAAAAGGAAAAAAACCCGGCTTTTTTTTTTTTAAAAATAATTGTTATGTAAAAAAAACGAAACCGGTCGGCCGTTTTTTTTCCCCCTTTCCAAAAACGCCAAAAAAAAAACAAAACCAAATTCCCCCGTTTGGGCGTTTTGTTTTTCTTTTTTTTTTTTGTTTTTTAAAAAAGAAAAAAATTTTTAAAACGTTTTTTTTCCTTTTTTTAAAGAAAAAAAAAGATTTTTTCAAACAAAAAATCGTTTCGACCCTTTTTTTAAATTTTTAAAAAAAAAACAGTTTGGGCCGATTTTTGAAAAAATTTTTAACAAAGGGTTTGGGAAAAACGAACTAAATTTTTGAAAAAATGTTAAAAAATTCGACTGATTTTCGTTTTTTTTGCCCGCCTCCGAAGGATCCCCAATTTGTTTTTCAAGATTTTTTTTAAAAAAAAGTTTTAGAAAAATTGAATTTTTTTTTTTTTCCTTTTTTGGGGTTTTTAAGAAAATTGTAAAAAAAAATTTATATTAAAAAAAGGTTTGAATTTTTCCTGTTTTTAAACGTAAATGAAAAAGGAAAATAAAAAATTAAAAAACCCCCTTTTTTTTCCCAAACTTTTTTTTAATAAGAAAGAAAACATCGATAATTTTAAAAATTGTTGAAACTGTTTAAAACTTTAAAAAAAACGCGTTAAAAAACATTAGCCTCGATTTTGGCTAACAATAACAAAATGATAAAAAAATTTTAAAAAAAAAACCCATTTAAAAAACCCAACGCTTAAAAAAACAAAAAAAAAGAAAAAAATTTAGCAAATCCAAAATCTTGGAGGAAAAACGCATTTAAAAAAAATCCTTTTTCCCCGAAAACCCCAAAAAAAAACGAAAAAAATACCACTTTCGCCTTTTTTTTTCCCCCCGAAGCGGTGTTTTTTAAAGCAAAAAAGAAAAAAACTTAAAAACAGTGAAAAAGGCCGCCAATCTTGTTTAAAAGAAAGCCCAGGTTTGGGTTGTTTTCTTTTTTTTTTTGGTTTATTTTTGTCTGTTTTTTGTTTGTGGGCCCTTTGCCGTAGAAAGAATGTTTTTCCCCTGTTTTTTTTTTAGGAT